CAAAACAAAGCTTCAAAATAAGCTAACACTAAAAATCTCAAAACCTATTACATCATCACCGATCGTTAATAAACGTCGATTGACTGTAAGGATCACAGCAGGAGTAGACAACTAAAATATACAAGGAAAAGGAAGTTACCTGACCTCTGGGGTTCTAATTTGGAGGTCTACCCACCTACGCCTTGTTCGCTTTTATCTCCCTAGAATCAAAAACCCATCGACGGGTATGAGCGGTGACGATTTCTTGAATGATACTCTCATGGCAGGCAGTGGGTAAGATGGAAGAAAATGAAGGGGCGTACGAATAAGGGGGAGCCGTCTCTCAGTACGAACCCTTTGAATGAAACTCTTGGTTCTTTCTTTGCAAGACCTTAGCGCTCACCCCGTTTTAGTCCTAGATCTCATCGCATAAATCACCGGTTTGCAGACCGAACCGAACCAAACTTGATCAAAACCAACATTGAATAAGACTGTTCTTCGAGTTAATTTCAAACCAAACTTTATTTCGGTTCAGTGTGTTTCTGTTTAGCGGTGGAAACTTTCACAGTGTGGATTAAATGAATGTGCTTCTAACTTCTAAAAATCAATACGAGTGTTACTTAGTTCACACCTCTTCAAACCAAGTTCGAACGAGGTTGTTTGAGTTTTGTAAATCTACTTTAAATAAGGCCTAGTGCTGTGGATACACATGATTCCATGTGCAGAGCTCCGCGACTACGACTATGGATAATCATTCATGGAAGGAGAGCTCCGTAGCTTGGTGTTTATATAGTCAAATAACTCGATAACTGTTCATATGATATTTCAGTGGTGCCTGGATTAAAGTATCTCGTTTGATAGAACCATGAACATGTGGAGTTATGTCAAATTACCCATTTTGAATTATTTGTAAACAACTCACGACCCAAATAATTCATTTCAGTAAATATTGTCAAATGAGTTATTTGGACCGAAAGATGGACTTCTCAGTCAATTTTATTCAATGGGTACAGAGATGCCACTCCACAGCTTACTTTAGTTAGTATCATCATGTATAAGTTCTTGTTCAGTTTCTTCTCTGCTGAGACGGGGATAAAGCATGGGGATTCATTGGCCCCCTACTTATTTACTTTATCATTAGGGTCTTTATATGATATGTTAGATTGCTCGAGAAATGCATATTGCTTATCATCCTCAGTGTTGATTGATAGATCTTAGGCACCTTTGTGTTTGCAAATGATCTGTTGATCTTCACTAAGGGTTCTACAAATGCTTTTAATGGAGTTAAAAGGGTGTTGGATAGGTTTTATATGTTGTAGAAACTAAAGTACAATCCTCACAAGTGTGAGGTATTCTTTGGGAGCATAGCGTAGGTGTTTAAGCAGATTGTTATCCGGGTTACAGTCTTTAAAGAAATGAAAACTACATGTCAGATATTTAGAGCTGCCTTTGATTTCTAACGAGTTGTCTAGTCGTGAGTGTGTAGTACTGGTGGATAAGCTGACTAGTCAAACCCGATCATGGTGCGCAAACAAACTCTCTTATGCATGACAGATTCAATTAGTCTTGTATGCTTTATACTCCTTAATACATAATTGGATGAACATCTTTGTACTGCCCAAGAAGACTGTTGATAATTTGGGTAAGCCTAAGATGGCTTGGGATATATTGGCAACCTCTAAGAAGAAAGAGGTTTGGAGCGGAAAGACTTTAGCACATGGAATATTACATGTGTGGCTAGACTCCTATGGCTACTGCTCATGCAGAAGAGTTTCTAGGTATAGCATGGGCTGCTAAGTATAGGACCATCTCTCATATTATGGAGGCCTTGTTCTAGAAACAAAATGTGGCCCATATTTTTTCTATAAAAATCTAATAAAATATAAATAAATCATCAATTAGTAAATAAAAATCATTACAATATTATTTAAAAGAATTCAAATAGTAAATAAATTGACTTGAATCACCTAAATTGGTGACGAGAAGTTAACTGAGCTAGAAAGGAAAGTATAAAAGAATCAAAGATTAGAAACAAATAATAAAAAATAAATATAATATAGGAGAGAAAGTAATAAATATTTAGTCTAATATTAAGTATGTTACGAACTATTTGTAATTGATTTACTTTTTTTTTATTTTTACTTGTTGGCTTGTGCCTTATTGTAATTAACTTTAATAATAAGAGGTAAAGTAATCTCATCTTTTTTATTCTATCTGGAAAACAAAGGATAAAGAATATGCTCTCTTATATGGTTTAGAGAAAAAAGTCTAATAAGAAATCAAATCTTCCTTCTTTATATGCTTGAATCATTTTTTTTTAGAATTTGAGATTAATTTTTTTTATTATATTAGAGACATAATCAAAGTTTAATACATTAATTTTATATGTTTGAAATTTATAATTAAAACTTAATACTTCATAAAAAATAGTTAGCATTATACATAATGTAGGCTCTAAGCTGATGACCCAATAGTTTAGAGGCTCTTTGCGGGAGGGCCTTCCCGCACACTTAGAGAGCCTGCCATGAGTAACTATAGGGTAAAGAACGGGTGGCTGAGTATCCACATCATGCATTCCACGCCATAAATCTCGCCGCGACCTCTTGGTAGATCCCCAGTCATAACCTTGCTCTGTCATATCCTCGAGGAGCTGGCTCAATTGTGGGGGCATCTTGGTTAGCATATTCCCGCCACAAACCGAATCAATCAGCTATCGGTGTTCAGGAAAGAGGGTACGATAGAAATTGCTCACTTTGAAGACGTTGGTGAAACCATGATTGGGGCACTTTAGAAAGAGAGTGGAGTATCTCTCCCATGCATCTCGGATAATTTCATCTTCATCCTGAGGAAAGTGAGTTATTTCCTTCTGGAGATCCATTGTCTTTGATGGGGGATGACATAGTTCAGAAACTTGTCAACCATGGCAGTTCATTTGGTGATCGATCCTGGAGCACGAGTATCCAGCCATGTCTTGTCCAGTACCTCTAAGGTGAAAGGGAAGTAGCGGAGCCGGAAGACTTCTTGAGTGACTCCGTTCAGTTTGATCCCATCGATCAGCTCATAGAACTGCCGCAGATGCTCCCGAGGGCACTCACATAATTCCCATGGAAGACCACAGAGCCCTTCAACATCTAGATGACAAATGTCTTCAACTAAAAGTTGTTAGCATCAACTTGAGGATGTTGGATGCTAGACCTCAGATCCTCGACACTAGGGGTTAAGTAGTACCCCACAGTCTACTCCTTGGGGGTCTTGCATGTCCCCAACTAGATAATTGGGGTCAACCATTTTTCTTCTTTGCTATCCGATCCCTTAGTAACAACGACCTTGTCCAAGCCCTCCTCTGTAGCCAGTCTCGATTTGAGCACTTTGAGTTGGTGACAGGTCCGGTCAATTTCAGGGTCCAGAGGTAGTAGATCTCCTGACTGGCTACGGGTCATGCACTACATGCACACATACGACAAGCACAACCCGTCAAGGCAAACAGGGTGGAGATAAAATGCAGAAAAGTAAATGCTAAAGTAACATATTCTCATGTATGTTTCTTCAATGACCTAACCGTCCGTGGCAGCGACACCAAAAACTTGACTCCCTAAAACCAATACAACAAAACTACAACCAAGTGTAGTCGCAGTCTAGCAATGCAATATATTGACTCAGGTTTTATTTCTCAACCAAGGTCCTAGGTCTACTGGTTACTTCGTTTGTATCTATTATCTAGCGGTTGAGTTTGAGTGAAGTGATAAAAAAAAAAGTAAACAGAAATCACGTAATGGTTGTTTTCAGATTAAGAAGGCTCACTTTTTCACATTAAGAAGGCTCACTCAGGTATGAGTCCCCTATATTGTCGATTCGGGCTAAATTACACATATTTTACCCATAATTTCTTGTTCATTTGACTTAGTAAATCATCTTCCCTCAACCTACTTTATGCTAGGGTGTGCTATTTTTGTTACATTTCATGTCCTAGCACGTGTGGGAAGGTCGATGACAAGTTTTGGGACGATTGGAGGTTGAAAAGCGCCAAAAAGTGAAAAATAGTCAAAAGTCATGGGCTGGGGGTAATTGTTACGCACTCTAGGTCGTGACAATTGAGCCCAGGGCTCGACATTTGACAAGAATCAAAAGGGTCTTTATGTCTCACGAGCATAAGATTTTCACGGTCCAGTGACCATGAAAATTACTCCGTGACCTTGAAAATAGCCCAAAATGGTGTGTTTTTGGCCGAGATCACCCCCTTCTTGCTATTATCACCCCCATGAACAGTGACCATGAAGTCGGCACTGTCGGGAAAATATAAAGAAAACAGCTGGAAGAGAGAAAGGAGAGCTGGTTTTTGGGTTAATTGCAAGGATGGTCACTGGGTTTACTAAAACCGTTCATGTTTGGTCACTGCAAATATTTAATTATATTCATGGTCACTAAGATTAGTTCAATAGTTCAAGTTTGGTCACTCTCCGTTAGTCTCCGTTAGTTTTTGCTGATCTGGCAGTCAACTATTATAGTTGACCGTTAAATGAGTGACGTGGCCAATAAAAATAATAAAATAATAAAATTTAAATATTTACAATTTCCACCTCATTTTACAACACTATTAAAAAATAAAAATAAAACTTACCTCCTCCCCAACGCCGTAGCCACCACGGAATGAGAAGCAGCGGATCATCATCACCACCACCACCGCCCAGCCTGAGTACAGGGAAATTAGCAGCCTGCTGCATCATCCCGCCATAGAACGGCAGCAGCGATGAGGATGGAGGTGAGGCGGAACAACTTTCGATGGAGACGGAGGAGTTGGGGGAGACTGTTACCGTGTTCATTCCCATGCCCGCCGAGTAGGCCGCCTGGTCGTTGGTGTAGCCATGGTGGGCGGTTGGCGGAAGCGGAATCGTCGTTCCTGGTAAGAGCTGCCAGTGCCGATCATCGTGATCCATCATCATCGTCATCATGGCCAAGGGGTCGTCCTCGGGCGGCGGCGGGTTACTAGTAGCAGCAGATGGGTGGTTGAGTCGGCTGCTGGCTCAATGGTGGTGGTGGTGCTTCTTGCCGAGGAGGAGCTTCTTCTTGAGGCGGGTGTTCCAGTAGTTCTTGATGTCGTTGTCGGTGCTCCCGGGGAGCTGCGCCGCGATGATGGACCACCTGCTGTCGATGGTGACGTAGAGGCTGCAGATGACGTTGTCCTTCTCTTCTGAGAACCCGCCGTGCTTGATGTTGGGCCGGAAGTAGTTCAGCCACCGCAGCCTGCAGCTCTTTGTCGCCATAACCATAACCTTCCCCGTCATCAAGCTTCTCGAAATTCAGGTCATCTTCGTCCGATTCGCCGAGAATCCCGGCAAGTCCGTGCGCGGCGACGGTCGACCCGATGTAAAGATCCGGATCCGAGACGCGGACGCCGTCCACGGACAACACCGACTGGTCCACGACTGGTCCTACTACCTCTAGTAAACAAGCATTTTTCAATTCAATTCTTATAAGCAGAAACCAGCAATGCAAAAGCAATGGTTATAGACTTTGTGCCCACTAACCGTTTGTACTCGGGGGATTGCTTATATTTCTCGAACTTTTTAGACCATTCTTCGTCGGAAAGAGGAGGGAGCTGACCGGTGAACTTCCAATCAGTCATGGAAAGACCAGAACGAGTAAGTCGAGTGACACCGCCAAGTATCACCATGCTGAAAACCCAGGCAGCAGAGCCAGAGAGCCAAATCCCCACCATCTTCTGAGCGCGAGGCCCTACTGTGACCAGCAACTTCACTCCCTCCTTACTCTCCAAACTAACTGATGCCACAATCGAAGAATTTCTAATGGAACCTGCATTATGACCACCCTATTGCCCATCAAATTAAAGAATTGAAATTGAAGTTTGGAGTCACATTAACACAAATAAAATTGAAAAAAAAAGACCCATTTGGCAGACATTTACTTGCCTTCGGAAGAGATCGAAATGCGTGGAAGAAGGGCCTCGACGGAGAGGTCGGAAGTTCTTTGAAATGCTGCCGGCTGAATTGCGGCGGCGTCCGTTCGATACTGGAGATTGTGCTGCCGATCGTCTGTTTGTTCCTCTTCAGAATAGAGGATAATACACGGCTGCCTAACATAGTGTAAGGAAGATGCTCTCTCTGCCGCGGGCGAAAGGTTTTAGAGAGGTATTGGGGGAGAGGGAAGTTGAATCACAGCTCCGGAGCTCAAATCAGCCAACAATGGCGGAAGAGTGGGGGAGATGGACGGCGAATGGGGAGCGGAGATCGGAAGCTCATAGCTGAGCGAATCATACGACGTCGATGAGTGCATTGCCAGTGGTTATGGTCAAGTGATTCTTCAACTAATCCACTATCACAGGAAGATGAATTTTTCCTTTCTCGAGCTCCACTTTCAAAGTTATCAAATGCATCGTGATTATGGTCAACTTGATAGACATTAAAAATTTCCTCCTCCTTACCTACTCGGAATGTCAACTTCCCTCTCCTGACATCGATGAGTGCATTGCCAGTGGCTAGAAAAGGTCTACCAAGAATGAGAGGCACTCCCCGATCTTTTTCCATCTCCAGAATTACAAAATCTATTAGGAGAATAAACTTCCCCACCTTCACCAATACATTCTCCACCACTCCTTTTGGGATTTTTACTGATCGATCGGCCAATTGGAGAGTGATCTGAGTAGGCTTAAGAACATCTCACAATCCCAATTTCTTGTAGACTGAGTATGGCATCAAATTAATTCCTGCTCCAAGATCACAAAGTGATTTATTGAACTCTGTACCTCCAATGACACATGTAATGGTGAAGCTGCCCGGATCATCCCTCTTTTCTGGTAATTTATTATGAATCACAGTACTACATTCAGAAGTAAGGGTTACCTTCTCTAGATCAGCCCATTTGCTCTTCTTTGTCAGCAACTCCCTTAAGAATTTAGCATAAATAGGCATCTGTTCAAGTGCCTCCGCCAACGGTATGTTGATATGAAGTTGCTTGAAGATATTCACAAATTTCTTGAAGTTTGGGTCTTCCATGGGCTTCATTAACCTTTGAGGGAATGGTGAGGGAGGTTTATAAGGCTTTAACTCTTCATTCTTGAATTTTTCCACCTTTGGAGGTGCACAGGCAGAATACTCATGCACAGACAGATTGCATGCAATTTGTCTATGCAAGTCAGATTTTTCAGCTTTTGCACTTTCTTCCTCTGCAACTGCTTTGCCCTCCTTTTCTTTTGGATTTTTCTTGCTCTTTGGATCCTCCAACTCCTTCCCACTCCTCAATGTGACTGCTACAACCATGGCATCCTTTGGATGTCTCTCAGTATTTGCCGGTAAAGTCCCAGGAATCCTACCTTGAATATCTGCCAAAGTTTGAGCCATCTGTCCTATTTGCCTCTCCATAGCTAGCATAGATGATTGCATATTATTGTTGATGGCTAGCTGTTGAGTGACAAATTGATCAAGACCCTTGAAATTATTGTCTGTTTTCTGCATATGAGCCAAAATCAACTCCTCCAGCTGGGGCTTCTTCTCTGGTTGAGGCTGCTGCTGCTGAAAACCAGGAGGTGGGATGTTTCGAGCACCAGCTGGGTTATTATTCGACCATGACATGTTGGGATGATGTCTCCATTGAGGGTTTATGTATTTGAATACATACCACCCTGGCCTTGACTTCGCGGATTATTGATGTATTGGACATCTTCCAACTGAGCAGCTCCCAGTGGACACATATCCCTATGATGAGGACCCTTGCAAAGTTCACATGAAGCAACCTCCTCTTATCTACCAAGAGAAATCTTGGCCAACCTTCGCTCGAGTGCATCAAACTTGGAATCCAGTTTAGCATCCAACTTGGCTTCGAGACTTGTAACTCTGTCAACTTCATGAAAGCCTCCTCTTCTTTGAATGCTGGTCTCACTATACCATTCAGTGGCTTCTGAACAGATCTTCTCTACCAGATCATATGCTGCTGGTGCCTCCATGCTTGTGAAACCATTCCGCGAAGCATTATTAAGGGCACCCCGAAACTCCCTTCTGATTCCATTGAAGAAGATAATGATCACGTTCCAATCCTCAAGACCATGACTTGGGCATCTCATCAACAACCCCTTGTAGCGCTCCCATGCCTCAGTTAGACTCTCATCATCAGCCTGCTTAAAAGTAACAATCTCTTCTTGCCTCTTCATTGCCAAGGCAGGTGGGAAGTACTTATCCAAAAAGACCTTCTCAAGTTGAGCCCATGTCGTGATGGAACGTGGTGTTAAGTTCTGAAACCAGTGTGATGCATTCCCTATCAGGGAGAACGAGAACATCCGAAGACGGATTGCATCATCAGATACTGTGGGACTCTTCATCGTATCACATATGCTCACGAACCGGCAAAGGTGTTCATGAGGATCCTCACTGCTAGCCCCGGAGAAAGTATATCCATTGGTGATCATGTTGATAAATGCTGGGGTAATCTCCATGGTTGCATCCCCAGCCGGAATGACAACACATGAAGCTCGGGCTCGAGTCCGTCGATTCAAACGAGCCCTGATCGAACGATCCTCGTCTGCCATGATGAAAGGCTTAATGTCACGAGGTGGTGTAGGTGGTGTAGGGACGACAGGTGATGAAGCATGCCCTCTCTGTTGACGATTATGGGTTAGGGAAGGCCTAGGAGTTGTGGTTGGCTGCTTCCCTAACTTGACCTGCTTCCTGTTCTGTCGGTAGGTCTTCTCGATCTCCGGATCTAGTGGCAGTAAATCGCCGGTCGTCCTCCTAGGCATGCATAAGGAGGATAAACCTGAAATTCACCTGCACACTAGCACAAAGATCAAAATAGTTCACTCACAAAAATCAACAAAAAAAAGGTATGGCAGTCCCCCGCAACGGCGCCAAAAACTTGATAGGGCAAAAGCGTATATGCCTTAATCATATCTCGTAGTAAACCGGAAAGTCCGGGTATCGTCTCTCAGGGACTGGTACAACCTTATATTCTATCAATTTTACGGAGCAAACTATTAGTGAAAATAGTTGAATGAGAGTAATTTATAAAAGCAAAATAAACTAACCAAATTAAGCAAATGAAAACTGTCGGGAGAAATTCAACGGAGAAAGCTCTGGGAGAAACACTGGGATTCACTATCTATCATATCTAAATTAATTCACATATTCTAATCAGTTTAATCCAATTCTCTAAGATAAAACAATATGATTTCGATCATCATGTTCCAAATCAACAATAAACAAACAATTCAGACTAGAAAATCCAACCAAATCACTTGTTCTTGTTGAAATAAGCTCACGGCGCCTTGGGAGAAGTCACTTGCCGAGCTGTTATCGCCAAATCGCCGCTGCTCGCTAGTATCCCTCGTCGTTCGCTGCAGCTCCCCTGCCCTAACAAGCTGCTGCTCCGCCCATTAATTTTGTTCCTAGCTGTCCCCCGAAATTGGCTTTTGTCCCAATTATGTCCCAGCTGCTTCCGTTCTCCAGTCCAACTTCTCCCCAAAAGATGACAAACACTTGGGCCTACTTTTCCTTCTCCCCTCGTCCTTTCTTCCTTCACCAAAAACCAATCCATTCCATTTGATTATTTGCCCCCAACTAAAGGAAAAACAACTCGGTCCAAGTTAATTCAAGCTTCCTCCCCTGTTACGGTCCAAGTCTCAGGCGAGAAGAAAAAGAATGGGCCCTGGCCCATTGTTAATTCCAGAGGTGGAAGGAAATAATTGCTTATGATCCAAAAATATAAAGAGCCGGTTTTTTCTTCGATAGCCTATTTGTGTTAACATTTTTTCTTCACCTAAAACATATTGAATTCATGGCACTTGGTGGTAATGGTTTTATTGCCATTTCATAGTTAATCAGCTCTAAAACAAGCATTATTTATCTCAAACATATCATGAAATATTCACATTGAACACATTAAATCAATATGTTTTCGACAATTATCACTAGTAATCTAATTTGCCTCCTTAGCCTAGTTTAGAGAGGAAAATCCCACTTTTCAAGGGAGACTCAATCGAGTTGGTTTTCCTTCCGCTTTCTAAGCCACATAAACTAGGTTGAGTTAGGGAAACCCTCAATATTGAATTGAACAAGTCGATTTATCATGGTTACACCGTCCGACGTTAGAGTTGAGTGAGGGAGTAAGTCGATTACCGATTGTCTAAATCAAGAGGGTCGAGTGACACGGCCTTTCATCCCCACCTCGGTTTAGCAATTGAGACTGTGGTCTCCGACCACATATGCTTTCCTCTGCGGTTCATGATTAACGTGCCCAAGGCAATCGTTCAAATCCAGATAGCATGGTAGCGGTTAGG